CTGTTATACTGTTATCTAAATATATTCGGATGTAAACCCCAGTAAGTTCTACAAAAAGAGATTGTAATATAATTCATACGCTTCATTTGCATGCCACTGACCACCAACTGATAGTTCCTAAAAATAAGCCCCCAATCACTGATTGGGGCATCTGTTTTTAACTCAAGGAAGGTTTTCCTTTGTTTTTCCCATCTGAAGGTAATTCAATCGAGTCTATAAATCATTGCAAGCCTCAGTGGTCAAAGTCATGATAGCATCAAAGTACAATCTGTTCGTCCAAGAGTATATAGCAAGAAAGATTAGGGTATTTGTGGAAGAAATTGAAGGTCATTCAAAGATTGCAGAACGTTATCCTCAATCAGCATTTGCGGCGTGTTGTCATTGTATAATGGAAAAGTGGCTCTTTATAATGCGAACAGTTGAGAACATCAGTGTGTTATTTCAACCTCTGGAAGATGCAATTTTGCAGGCATTTATACCATCACTCATTGGAAGAAACTAATGCAATCCTTTTGAACGAACACTGTTTTCACTTCCTATACGATTTGATGGTCTAAATATTATCAAACCAGTTAAAAGTGAAAATGAAGAATATCATGCTTCCACAAAGATCAGTCATTGCCTGAAAGAGATCATTGTTCAACAGAAAGAGATGCTTCATAAACCTCAGTTACAATCAATCAAAATGATTTTACGAGAGCAAAAGAAGAAGAAAGTTGATGATATGATCCAGGAAATTTGAGATAGTTTTATGCCAACAATGCAAAGGAAGCTAGATATACTGAGCGAAAAGGATCGTCATCATGGTTAATTGTACTTCCATTACAAGATCAAGGCTTTAATTTGAACAAAGGGGAATTTCGAGATGCATTAAATTTACGTTATGGTTGGCAAATAAAAAATACCCCTCTGAACTGCATTTGTGGAAAGGCGTTTGTAAACTATCACGTGATGATATGTCCTCATGGTGGTTTACCAATAGTGAGACATAATAAAGTTCGAGCTATAACAACACTGTAGATGGCAGAAGTTTGCTCGAGAGTTGAAAAAGAGCCACAACTACAACCTCTTTCTGGGGAAGTGATATTACCTCGTACAGCCAATAGACAAGAAGAAGCGAGGCTAGATATTCGTGCTAAAGGTATCTGGCCTAGACAGCAAGATGCATTTTTTGATGTAAGGCTATTTTACCCAAACGCGTCGAGCTACCAAAACACCAATCTACCTGCATTCTATCGTCAGCATGAGATAGCTAAGAAAAGGGAATATGGTGATCGAGTAAGAGAGGTTGAATATGGTGCTTTTACAACACTGGTCTTTTTAACATCAGGTGGTATGGGGAAAGAGACGGCAATTGCTTATAAACGGCTAGCTGATCTTCTGGCACAAAAGAGAAAACTGCAATATGGCATCACGCTAGCGTGGATGCCTTGTAAACTGTCTTTCGCAATGATTAGGTCAGCAATTACTGCGATACGAGGAAGTCGATCTGCCTCAAATCACGAACACACTTTAAAGATTGACCTAGGTTATTGGGAAAGTTGTCTTTACACCTGACTTTCCCTTTTCTTTTTTTTCTTTCTTTTTCTTTTTCAAGCTGGTAATTTGAAAACTGTCATGGATATTTTAAACATTGATTTTAGTTAACATTTTTATATTTGTATGCTGTAGTTATAAAAGTTGTACCATTTTTATCATTAAATTTCATCAAAGTTACCCTTCTCTTTTATAAAGGCATTATTTTTTTCATCTTCTAACTGCTTATAAAACAATCATCTCATTTCAACTACAGGAAAGCTGCGAACTAAGAGCCCTATGACTTCAGTTAGCCCACTGAATGACATAGTCGAATTTCTTTAAGCTTTAGACATGTTGCTATGATTTTTGCACTTCTCTTTGGGTTTAATGTAACAGTCATGTCGATAGAAATGAGAACAAAACCAATAAATTCAAGAGTTTGAGTTGGTTGGGTTACAGACATTTCATCATCTACTAAAAATCCAGTTTTATTTAGGAGTGTAGCTGTAGCACCTAAATTTAATTTACATCCTGGACTGTATCTCCTTTCAGATAAGAATCATCTATGCACTCAACTGAAAACAATTGCTGTTCTCTGGCTTAAGTAATTTGGTGAATACTCTGAGACCACAAATAAAGCCATTCGTCATGCATGTAAAATTAAACATCTGAACTCTCCACTAAAAAATTATGCCTTTTTGATTTGGTTTATAGATAGGCACTGAGTGATAGGCCTCCCCCCGGAATTTCTAAGGAGGCCATAAAACAGCCAATTTTCGTCATAGATATATGATGAAGGGATTCCATCTTAAAATGTTCATAGCGCACAAATTGATTAATTTTCTTTAAAATAAATTCATACGGAAAGACCTATACTTTTTAGGATTACGAAGATGGGAGAAATAAACTCTCCTTCTTCATGCTGCCTTAGTGTGATAACTCCTTTGCACAAGAGATTATTAATTTCTGCTGCAACAAAATCACGCCATTTGAGTGAGAAATGAGTTCTCACAGGGGTTATCGGTTGATATGGTCGGTTTACTACACAAACCAACATTATCGCCAGATACAGTGGTTAAAAATCATTCAGTCAGTAGTTGCTTTCACTTCTTATTGTAGTGTATATTACCAGCCTTGAATATAAGTAAAGCACTATTGCTAACCTATAATTGATGTTGGGATTGATGTGATTGATTTTAAGTCACTCAGACTCCTTCTAACCCTCCTTTACTTGAACGGAGGTTTGGTCCACATCAGGCTCAGCCAAAAATCTCGATGCTCCCAGATCGCGTAAAAAACTTTGCGAGTGACCTCTTTTACCTTCAAAAATCGTATTATTTTTTGTGGGGTAAGAAAGATTTTGACCCACTCTATTTGTGGAAGATATATCTTAGATTTGTTTGAGTAAATCATTTCCAAATAAAAGATCATTAAATTTAACAAGCTCACTGCATGTTTGTTTCAACTGTTAATTTAAATTGGGTTTAATCAATTCACGGCGTCTTTGAACCAATTAACAGTTTGCATGTGGCGGAGTAAGGCCACTGTATCAATCAAATCTTTAGTAACAACTTTATTGTCATTGTAATTTTTGGGTTCATTAATAAATTTTACCAACTTAACAAGTGTTACAATAGCTTGAAGCATAATATTTTGAAGCCTATGCAGCTTAAAATCTCGGCTCTGAGTAGTTTCCCTGATTCTTGCAAGATTTCTGAGCTCACGTTTGTCACCATAAGATGCTCACAGTTAGTGGGCCTGGCACAGTTACTCATTTTCTCTTTAAGTTTCACGTCATTTTAACGACTCCTTACCATTTTGTTTACAAAATCAGCAAGTTTAGGAGTAACGTCATCTGAGAATTTGTCATCTAAACTATACTCTTGAGCAATTGTGCCTGGTATGCTTTCTCTAACTCAGTGGAGTATGAGTAATTTTTTCACTCTCAGTAGTACTATTTATCATATCAGCAACTTAATCATCGGTGTCCTTGCTGGTAATTGTGGCGATATTGGATTTCTTGTGTTTATTTTGCTGTGAGCCATGCATATACTGTGAGAGGCTTCCCCTTTTAACATTTGTGAAGAATAGCTCAGATAAACTGGAAACCATGATCTGCAATAGCTCTTTAAAGCTTTCTTTAAGGCTACAATAAGTAATTTCATCAATTTATGCCGTATGACGTTAACACTCGCTCAAAACAAGCAAATTATTTGGACGGGTATCTTTCCCGTCTAAACTCGAGTTGTTGTTGCTCGTTCTGGTCTCTGCAGCCTCGCCAGTCGCCATATCGGTAAATTCGCGATCTTCGACATCATCAAAATCATCAGATGACTCCACGAGCCTCTGTATTTCAGTATCATTGCCCCTCCTAGGCATTAATACTGAAAATAAGAACTTATTTCAAAGATTATATGCGATTGCACAAACTGCGAGTGCCATTTAGTGTTCACCCTATATATATTTTGTGGAGAGTAAAGACTGCGGTACGATTACGTCCTGGAGATCACTTTAAGTTGAGTTTGTATGAGAATTCTCCTCACAAAAATGCATAAATGAATATCACCCTCAACCAATTATCGATCTTCCGCGGTCCCTAATAAAATCGACGTTTTGCCTGTTTTTTAAATTAAAATAACAGTTATACTAATTTCCTCCCGGCATTAGATACCTAATGTTGTTCTTTCTTAGATATAATTTATGCAAGCAACAGTGGCGTACCACACTCGTTCAATGTGGGAGGGGTGGCACAAATTCACATATGCATGTCTTAATCCGTTGAAAACAATGGATTTCAAAGGAACTTTATCCAGTAGAACATGATTGTATGAATATGCGCCTCCAGCCAATGAACGAGTCTGCTACGTCTCTGGCAAGCAAATTATGGAATTTTATTATATGGCAAGCGTCACTTCCGGCAAAATGACACGTTTTGATTGGCTCAGAAACATTTTTGTTGGTCTATTATTTTCCCATAATCGAGCACGGTCCAAAACGCGTAATTTTACAATCAAATGTAAACAAACATCATAAAGCAAACAGCAAAACGCAAAAAAAAAGAATTATGAAACCATTTACGAATGAAAGTCGAAGGGAAAACTTTTGGAAAACAGTTAAAGTATCCAGACGATATAATTTGAAACGATTTATTTTTTATGGACGGAAAGTATAAAAGTGAAAGCCAACCCGTACAAAACAATAAGAACGAGAAAGAAAGCAAGCTTCGTTTCAGGACAAATAATTCCATATAATAATACTTTTAATAACCTCGCTTTCTCGGTCTTTAATGAGGATAATCAGATCTTGCACCCTTGTGGCAAACCTCACCCAACGAGCTCTTTCTGTACAAAAAGACCTCAGTATGTTGTTTCTCCGTAAAGACCTCACGCTAATTATTAACGACTTACTTTCATGTAAACTGAACTGCGTTTGGTAGAAGAAATGAAAAGAAAATCACTGACTTTCTTTCATTTAAATTGTAGAGAGTAAGGTTGTTTGACGCATACGCTATGTCCGAAATGTGTAAAGCTGGTATTCTTGTTCTTGACGTTCATCCATTGACAGCATCTTATTATCCGGGGCCTTATGACGGTCTTCATTACCAACACGAAGTATTCAAGTCAGCGGAAAAAGAGCTTGGGATTCTTGCGAAAGCTGGGCAGAATTATAAAACAACCGAAGTTTGTGTAGCGGACTATTAATAAATGGCATTGGAAAGCAAACATTACGTAACACACTACAAACTGGAAATGAGCGTAAATGAAAATTCACTTAAATAAGTGAATAGTAAAACAATTATTGAACTCGGCTTTCGCATGATATTAAGAATTACTTTGACCTTGGTAAACGCTACACGCCTCGACTTTGCTTCGGCAGCTTATAAGATATAACAATGGTAGTACAATTAAAGGTTGTTCATTATTTGTTGCACATACATTTGTTTATTAAAAATTTTGAAGCACAAGCTTACTTGAGTTTATTCAAAAATACTAGAAGTGCTTGATTTTGCTGTTGTTGTTTTTGCATTATCATATTTGCATGGCTTACATTTGCTAAGTTTACTGTTGTTTCCACTTCATCAAAAACTTCATCATGTTCCTCTGAGGCTATATTAAAGGCAGTGTAAGGTTTAAGTCGTTGCTCCTGCTTGTTTCTTTTAATTCCTACTTCTGCTTTTTCGACTTTATTTCTTCTTGTCTTTTTTACATCTCTATCTCTGTCTTTTCTAGCAAAAAGTTAATTGTATAGCTCTCATTTCTTCTTAGATGTTTTGTTTTATCAAATTCTTCAGCTTTTCCCTTTCTTTCCCTGACTGTGTCTTTATAGCTTTTCCTCTGATATCATCAACTGCATTTTTTGTACTTCGAAACTCTTGTTGTTTTCTTCAATGTTTTCTATTTGTGGTTTTTGCACCACTTCTTTTTCCACTACTTCTTCTAGCAATTTATATATTTCCGTTTGCTAAGGATTAATTCTATGTAATTTAGCTCGTCCTTCATATTGTTTTCTCTCTGTAACACTTATACTCTAATGCAATGACGTGATGGCAGGGGGATCAGGGAGCAAGCCTCCCCAGCCACCAGTTGTTGATTTTGGGGGGCGCTGAAGTGAATACCAGTCATCATGTTTTAAATTTGGGCTATAAAAAATCAAAAACGCATTTGAAACAGAACAGTTATTTTCGCAGTTATATATTCAGTGAATAAAGTAAACTTTAGGGATTTAGGGAAGAAAGGAAGTAGACAGACCAAAATGAAACCTTGTCAGGGGGTCGATTAAAGAATAGGATAGTGACGAGCATTCTAGAATTAGATGTTTCGTTTGTGGCCTCAACGCCTGCATGATTTGTCACGATGACTGTAGACAACATACATGCAGGTGAAAAACTAGAATGCTAATTGGGGAGTGTGAATATTCATATATTCAGCTTTGCCCTGCTGATTTCTATTGAATTTAAAATTGCCAACGAAAGAAATCAACAGCAAGATAGAGTCAGCATATATGAAAAAAACAATTCACCATTCATTGCGTGGAACTATACCATCATTTCGTTGTTTTAATAATGAAGGCAGAATTCCATTAGAATCGTCTGAAGTGCGTACTTCATCACCACCTTCTGAAAGCGGTTCATCATCGTACGTAAAGTTATTTGATTGCTCAACATAATCCACGGATTCCGAGCTCGAATCAGAAACCGATTCAGACATCGATTGCAAATTGTCTGAGCCATGATTTGATGCCATAAATTTTCAGAATACTTTTTCTTGTTAGTTTTGTTGTATTTTATCGAAATTTGTGTATTTATTTGTTTTTTAAAATAAGAAAATCGAGAATAAAATCACCGACGATAATATAATATAATGACGGAAACAGCGTATTCAAGTATATACGTCACATGTGTCAATATAGCGTCGCAAATGGTACCCAAATTCAGAGGCAAAATTGATGAACTTATATTTATTGGTTTAAGTCCATCGACTTTTCATAGTCCTTCTAATAGTCCAAACTTCCAACTTAGCCAATAAAAAGTGAGGGGTAAAATTCGTCACATAAACACTTTAATTATTAGGATAAGGGATATTTGATTCCAAACATCCCAATTTAGAATATTTATAAATATCCCTTTTTATAATTAAAACCATAAAGCGTAAAGGCATGCCTTTGTATTTAAACGTTATAGTTTATTGTGGTTGTGACAACTTTTAAAATTCATCTTTATACAAACTAATCATCCTCTTGCGTTGTAATCAATTAAACAGCAGTATTCTCAATTGATATCACTTCACATTAACAAAACCAAGCCTAATCTCAGCGCTCAAAATTTATGTTTCTACACTCTATTCAGTCTTTAAGTACACTCATCACTAATTGTAACCAATATTTTATGGTAATATTTATACACAATTTCCTTATAACTGTATAAATACAACTGTATTACTTTACTGATATATAAATCCAACATATGTATATTATTCTCTATTATAGTGAAGATGGTTACATGAGATGTTAAAACACATTTATTTAAAAAAAAACAACTTGTCGTATTTATTAAATGCAAAAATTCATTCATTAGCTAGTCGTTAAAGTGAAGTTTGTACAAAGCTAGAGCCACCGCTGCAAGTATTTGTACACTACACTTGTTTTGTGAAGATGAAAACAATAAAATATGTATATAGAAGTGATTATAATAAACGAAAGAGATTTCGATCTTACAGCAAGTGAGTATTCTCCTTGAAAAGACTGTCCAGAATTTCCTGCACTTGAGGACATTTTGAACGGGCAAGGTGCAAGACAAAAACATCATTAGTTGGAAAAGATAAATTGTCACTGTTTTTATCATAATACTTGCACAAGTTCTGTAAACCACGCTGTTGCTCTTTCATCGTTGCACTTTGTAATTGCTTTGTATTCCTCGCTTCTTTTGAAGATTTTTCACACCAGTTATCGTTCCAGGCTCGACGAGATGTAACATTGATAAGAAATTCCTTCACAGTAGCAGAATTTCTCATCAAAAGAACGCCGGCGTTTATCATTCTTTCTCCAGGTGGCCTAGCAACAAGAAGCTCCAACTGATCAGAATGCATAACTGCCTCAAGAGATATTTGCATATTAACGAACACAGCATTTGGGTCGATCCAAAGCAGCAGTTTGCAATCTGATAAATATCTGAAGATGGTGTGCAGTTTATGATATACTCTGTTACATGGTGTATCCCAATAAAAACCATGTGTTTCTTCCAAATAAACGTAGCCGTGCTGCTCAGCATATTTTATTTTGTTCTTTCGAAGCTGTACAAGGTTTGAGTTCAGACAACCGGAGAAATATTTGTGGCTTCCTGAAAATCACAGAGAAAAAAACTACGTTAGATGTGGTAAAATTTTATATACATACGATATGAGCTCATGCAAGTATGTTTTAAAATCATATAAAAATTTTTAAATGAAATTTTAGGAAAATCTACAAAATATTTTTTTCTATATATGTATATGATTACGTAACTAGCCTTTCACTATATGTAGGAATATTATTAAGGCAATGAATGACATCCTAAATGTCTTTTATATGTATTAAACTATATTACTAACACTTACATTCGCACTCACTGAGAACAACAAAAAAATTGCAACTTTTTTGTTGAGGCCTGGAAAAATTTCTTTATCAGTGATACGCTTTTTGCTAAAAGACTTCAAATAAGGCAATCAATTGAGCGAAAATAATTTTTATGAATAGCAATGACGTGATTTTAAGGTCTCGCTTACTGAGTGGGAGTGAATTTCCAAAGTGAACATTATTTAACATAATGTATTTTTGGAACAAAAGCGTCTTAGATTTTGACATTTTGTCATGTTTACAGACATAGGAAAAAAACAACAATAGCAAAATACCTTCTAGGTATGGTTGGCTATGGCCTCTTTTACAAAAATTTGATTGTGAAAAAAATGTGTGTGCTTGATGTTAAGTTCCATTTAAAAAGTTCTTAGTGTTGTCTAATGTTTTATGTCTTTAATCTATTTGCTTCATCCAGGTTCTTCACTTCTACAATGCATTTAACTTTTATGATCTGCGTGGAAACTGCGAGATCATTATTTTTACTAACAATTTTTTTATTTAAAGATCTCTTATCCATTCGACGTGTCTATTGCGCTTTTCCTAAATGCTCAATCACACTCACACTCATGAAGTGCAAAATAAAAATTACCTTCTTTCTAATCATTGACGAAGTCATTTCTACAACTAGGGCAAAATTTTATTTTATAGATATTTAAATCAAGCAAAAAGTGGAGTAAAATTGTGGTCTCCGAATAATTACGAAGTGACTTTGAAGCCTCACTTATTGTGTGTGACGTAAATGTAACAATTCTAGTGGATGTTTGTCTCTTCGTTACGCTGATGTCAGTGCTTGATTTTTATTTCTTGTGTCGACTTCAGCATACAGACGTTATTTTCAGCATATCTGCTCTTTATTAATATGATGCATGTTTTTCGGTATTATCATCAAAGTGAGATAAAAGAGGTTTTGTTGGTTATTTCTGTATGATCTGGCTGTCATGACAACTGATTGTAGTATTATGTGTCATGTAGCTATATGCATTTAAAAAGTTCCAAAAATACAATTGTAAGCAATAAAACGATAAAATATGTGTCACGAAAATGACATTCTGTCCGTCTTTATAAAATATAATTAGCGAAGCAACGTTTTCTTTAATCTACGCTTTATAACCCTTATTTTATGGCACGCATGCAATGTAAGTGCTTGACATTAGGCACTTTCCGTATATTCTTCAATTTCCGTGTTTAGTTTAAAGACTTTAGTTTGTTTCATAATTGCGTGGTATTGAATTTTCTTTTAAGATTCTTTGTCCCTCTGTCCCACGGATACTCTCATGTAACTTTCCAAAGTTCACTTAATACGTTATAAGACATAAAATATATGTTGTATAGACGAGTCATTATGTTTACGTTTTGCTACTAGTCGAGTTTATTTAAACAGCACGAGAAAAAGTTGATCAAACTCTCTTAGGTCTAATCAGGCGTAAAATGGCAAATAATGTAAAGTTTTATTGCCGAACTGCTATTCACGTATAAAACTGTATTGCAATAACTTGAAATAACATACACTGCAACACCAAGTTTATTATTTTGATATCGATATTTAGGTTTTCAAAATTATTTCTTTACACTTGTTCGAAATCTTTGATGA